CCGCCCCTCCGCCGGAGCTGTTGGCTCTCCCGGCCACCCCTGGGACCGGCCGGGTCAGGTCACGGGATGTGTGCCACAGTGTCGGAAGGGCGACTATTCATACAGAGGGATGGTGATACAGCGCAGAGGGGTGTAGCGGTGATCTGACAGGCAGTAAAACACGAGGACAAAGTGAGGACACGACAGGGTCTCTGGTTCAGAAGACGCGGCAGGAGACATGGATAACCCGTGTTCAGATGTCAAACGAGCCATGTAAGTCTAGGACGAAGGGGAGGGGAATATGTGTTGCTGGTTGATTTATCCAGTAAATTTTCGCACAAGTGCAGGTAATGACGGATGTCGTTGATTGTCTGTATTATACATAGTCGATTGTGCGTATTCTGAAACAAACTCGTTTGCTTGGGGAACGATACTGCAAATGCATCCAGCTGGATATGAAAAATGGGATTATTGCTTGAAAGGTTATCGATATACAAGATCATATTAAAATACAATGGTTCGGGGATTTGCACATATTGCATCACCAAACAAAACAGCACTTAAATATGTAGACGTGTTTGCATGTGAGTAGCGATATGCCCGTTCAATAGCCACGTCTTTTTGAGTTGCATTCTATACCTAAACCTAGGTGGCTTGTAATGGATTTCTCTTCTTTGGCTCGTAATGCGTTGAATTGAGATTTGAGATTGACGGCTGGTGGGAATGGTTTAGTTTAGATGAATAAAATAAGCAGTTTCGTACTATTGCGATCATTCTTCTTTGTAAGCGTCGGTGATTTGATTTACTGAAAACTTCTAGCCAACATGTCGGTTGGAAGGTATGTAGGTACCTACATTTTGTACAATAGTATGACTTGGTTGCCAGGTCCATTTGCTTTGATCTCCCTCTGTAAATGACACATGTTGCCAAGCCTCTCGCGTTTATATGAGTTTATAACAACTCGGATAGTGGTCATATTGCACCAGATTCCAGCTGTCCAATGGTAATAATCCATATGTTCCTGCTGAGCTCAGTGAGTCCAGCAAAGTTTTCATCGATCCAGAGCGGGAGTGCGGAGTTGTTTTGTATCTGATGGCAGCGACATTGCCTGGAAATATCACGCCCCAGACAAAGGATATTGTCTGGAAAGGTCTGTCTGCTATCCCACTGCGGGACGTTGAGCTCATTGATAAACATTAGCAGCATGCTGGCGGTCATTTATCGTGTTTTCTACTAACTGTTCGCCGCTGTTCTGGTGCCAATGGCTGCATCAATCATGAAAGTGTTGAGAAGAAGCCGCCGTTTCTGAACGGCTGCTGAACAATCCATTACCCGCAGCCGGTGATCAATAAGCGCTAAATGGCCGGCGTTACCATGATTAACTCCGATGGCGACCGCTCGGGCCGCTGGAACCAGGGCTGCGGAGTCGGAGTCGGAGTCGGAGTCGGAGTCGGTCGGAGTCGACAGTTGTGACCGGAGTCGGAGTCGGAGTCGGAGTCGATTTTAGAAACCCGAGCCGGAGTCGGAGTCGGAGTCACCGAAAATCTGTCGACTCCGCAGCCCTGCTAGGTCTGCGGAGTCGGAGTCGGGAGTTGGAGTCGGTCGGAGTCGACAATTCTGCCCGGAGTCGGAGTCGGAGTCGGAGCTGGTTTTTGAAAGTCGGAGTCGGAGTCGGAGTCGGAGTCGCCGAAAATCCATCGACTCCGCAGCCCTGGCTGGAACTAATCCTAGGTCACATCACCGTTGCTAAGGGCTCTGGAAAGATGTTTTCGCTAGCTTAGCCCAGTTTATGTGTTGTGTTTCTTTAAAAATGTATTCGTGATAAAAACATTAATGTTTTCCGGGCCAGATCCAGTACCGTTCTTGGTAAGCGTTATTGGAAAATGAATTTGCGACAATGATTGTTTATTCCCAACACCCCAAGCTGACTTCAACTATTTGTATTGATACAGAGTGTTTGATTATGTTTGAGCCTTGTTGTATGGTTCATAAAATTCGTTGGGTCCCGACACTCACTCGTAGTCGGATAAATGAATCAGACGATAGAGACACCAAATATTAGGCGCGGCAGAAGAAGGCGGCATGATTTCGCTCTCCACTGTATCAACAGTTGGTGGCTAGACGCAACAGCTTTGACAAATAATTCAATTGATCTTGGATATGGGCTTAGTTTCCGATTGTGGAGAATGCAATAAGTTCAGCGAAAATAATATCCCTAACCACGAAACGTGGCTGGAATGGAATGAAATGGCCTGGAAGCTTCCCTTGTTTTGACGTATGACAGTTATTTTGATGCACACTTACGGTGAATGTTATCTAAGCCTGTCTTCATGGACCAAACAAATGATTTCACAGCCGTTGGCTTGGTTCATCACTATGTTCATTTAAAATAATGTTCGTAAAAGCACATGTGCGACATTGACTTGTGGTAACGCAATAAACTGTTGACATTCTCATGGAACGTGCGGGCACTGTTTGTCAGTGGGTTCGAGGCATGGGCGTGACACCAGACAGGCGGATTTATCTGACGGTGCTCCGGGACGAACATTGATCCACTTAGCCCGGCGTGATGGTGCGGAAAGGGTCTCAGTTCAGCATCCAGCCGTCTTTATTGTCATGCATGAGAATCAATGCTGACCGGTATTGGTCACGTATAATGAAGACTACGTGTTGAACAACAGGACTTGGTCGTTATCATTTGAGAAAGGGATCCCGGGTCGTCAGGTCCCGGACAGTTGCGCTGTAAGCGAGATAATAGCTGTCAAATTATTAATATATTTGGCAAGGCGCTGAGTCTCGACGATGCTGTCATGTCGAAAAAGAATAATTGCAAAATAATAGAGTAATTAACAAAATAATCCTCACGAAGGAATGGTGTTTCTCGTCAGCGTATAGTGTTGCTTTGTTAATGAACCATGAAAGTCATAGAAAGAAGGATGATCATGTTTCTCTTAAGTCCGAGTTGAGAAACATTGGGACAATTGCCAAAGAATAAAACACTACTTTCTCGTAACTGACCAAGCTAAATTCATCAAATGACATTGCAAAATTAAAATGGCCAAGTCCTTACTTTGCGAGGTACCTAGTATATTGGCCTGGTAGCAAACACATCACTGGCACTCGGCCGGCTATGCTCGATACCATGGACTGATGGTAGGTCCATTAGCAGCAGCCCCAGGCCTAATTAGCGCCTTAGTACCGCTACAACTGTCTTGTTTTAGGTAGAATGCTGAACAGTAGGGCAGGGTGGGTGTGCTTAGGCCGACAACACACGGAGAGGCACGGGAACGGCAGAGTGCTGTAGAGAGGAGCGATAGCTGACATAGCGTTATTGGAGATCGAGACGAATTATAACATTGTCCGACTATGACGGAGTACTATGGACTATGGCATTCCATTCTATATGGAATGTGCCTCTTACACTTCTTAATATTTTCAGAGAGCAGATAAGAAGCAATTCATTTATGCGCCAGCCTTGGTGTACATTTTCACCGCGCTAAGCTCCCAACGATACTTTGGAAACAGGATGAGGAAATAAATCAATCGCATATGCTTTGAGTTAAGTCTTAAACTATTTCAGATTTAACGAGCAGTCCCATTCTGCACGGAAATAGCCGAGATTGGCAGCCTTTGCGCCTGGTTAAATATTGAGATGTTTGGCCAGCGATATCGGATATTTGAGCTGGGTGAATGGTGGCTCTTGGCTGCAGCCCTCGCAGGCACTGTAAAATGGCCAACAGACGCGTTCAGTGAAACGGGGTCATGTATTTTGGTAGAATTTAATATTGAACGGCTATTTTTTTAGCTTAAGTTATGTTTTTGTTTCAAAGTTGTTTCTTATTATTTCCGGTGTTTTTAAAGGGACCCTCCCACCTTCAAAAAAGTTTATGAATTGGCATGAAAGTGATGTCGCTCGGTTCAGAAAGAGCGAAAACGAATATCTACCAAATTTCACCGAAAAATATTCACCAGTTTTCAAGATATTAGACTTTTACTTTTGTTTACTTTTTTGGGATCTCCGCTGCTTCTAGCGACTTTATTTTAGAAGTGCGGCGTTTGCGGCAGATGTTGCGCGCAAATAGCATATACCACCGCGTGCTACAAAACGTTTTAGTCAAACATTTAAAAATCGTTAGATATTTGCGCTGACGTCACACATTCAGAGGGGTATTCCTAAGCATTAGCCCCTCTGAATCAAAATGCTGCAATTTTGAAATTCAATATTTCCGATTTAAGGCATTTCTCGATGTTTTGAGTGCCGAAACCGGTAATTGTGAGCCAGGGACCCCATTTTGGCTATCTCAACTCAAATCTAATGTTAAGGTGGGAGGGTCCCTTTAAGTTAATTAGAAAATTAACCCGGATATTGGCGTAATTAGTAACTGCCCAGTTAATCGACGTGTCATATAGCTGCGCCTGAATATTCCAAGTAACGGTGATTGCTATGCTAATGAGATCCGACAAATTTGCCCATTCCGGAAGTACTTTAGCGAGGTTGTACTGCTGTAATGGGTATAAAATGAAGGCGTCACATACCTACTTCTGTACATCTTTTTATCGCCATTGTGTAGACTTTACGTAATACCTTGTCAAACTTTTGGAAAATATCGAGATGTTTGGGTGATCATGATGAGTAATGATTGATGGCATAGTGGCTATTTCTAATAACCTCGTACAAAACATTTATATTGTATTGGTTTTACTTGACAGTAGCGTTCAGAGAAAGACAGCATGATTTCATTATGGTGCTGCTGGTAAGCACTTTGGTCCTCAATCGTATCGCGCAAAAAGAAACACAGGCGGCGGACGAGGATCAATCGTTGAATAGGACGACTCTTGACTGCAATTGTGCCATGCTATGGCAAAGGAAGGGATCTTGTCCATTGCAAGACGAGAGAAAGTTGTGTTACTCATTCCTGTGTTGGATAGTTTCTTTAAAAATCTGAACTTTCTGGTCGAAATAGGCGAGTCTTCTTCGGTACTGGCCTGGCCAGAGGGTAATTATTTCTCTTTTGTTTCAGAAAGCACAGCAGTGGGGACCTGCACAGCCGACTGAAGACTCGCAAAGTGCTGGGTGTGGGCGCCACAGACAACGGGGATGTGCACAGGTCAAAGGTGAGTGCGTCATTCGGTTGCCAGCCTCATGTATCCCACCCATGCACATTGCACAAGGTGATGCTTGTGATGAACGCTGTAGTATCGTATTTTCGAACAGATGATGAAGAGATGGGCAAAAAGTTAGTGATTGCCTTAAACGTTTATGGTGTCAGTTTTTTTATCGACATTATATTGCGAAAATGATCACCTTCTACCCCTAGTGCTGTTCTTCCAAAATACTTCCTTCGCCTAAGCTCAACTGCAGTTTTGTTGCGTTTTTTCCCTGTTAAAAGCTGCAAACACCATTGAGCAAACCGCACACGGAAGGGTTATACAACTTGCAGCATGCTGTATCGCTCGCTCCTTTCATGAATCAGTTAAATTGGTCAGCAGACTCAGGGGAGCTCACCTGTGACTTTTGGTGTCAGCCGACTGCGCCGAGATATTTTCCGATGGCAGTATCAATCGTCTCTTCCCGGGGGAAATCGGCGGAGCAGTGTCGCGATGCCCACGAGACCACGGCGCGACCGTTCGGGGTGGGGGTCGCACAGCTCGGCCGTCCCAGTGGTGCGTGGGTGAGAGAGATGGCTGGTCCCGAGGGAGGGGAAAGAGGAGATAGTTGACCCCAAGGGGCGAGGGAAAGATAAGGAGGTGATGGCTGGAGAATGGATAGTCCGGAATAGGCGGACAACGCGGATTTGTAGCCATGCTTTTGTCGTTACTGGGCGTTTTTTTTACGCTTCTGGTCATATGCTATGGCACAAATTAAATTTGTGTGAATATTAAACTTTCCTAAAATGAAAATGCGTCCCCCCCCAAAAAAATGAGCATTACAAACGCATTTCACTTTTAACATTGACAACTCATCCCTTTGTAAGCGCATTTACGAGCTTTCCTCTTAGCGCTAGATTTTTTCCCTGCAAGATCTAGCTATGAGCCCTGCACAGTAGTTTCCCGCTTCTCGGAAAATACCAACCTGGCAGGAGCTCGCTCCAGACCCTCGTTGATGGCACTCTATGAAGATAATGACACGCCGCCTGCCAGCGCACTGGTCCTGACGACCTCCCGCGGGCCGGTATTTGCTGCCCGTTTCCAGATGGGCGTCCGTCCCAAGTGGTCCAATAAGCAGGATGATGTGTAGCGCAGCACTAAGGCACCTCGTCAGAATTCATGATAGCGGTCTAGGTTGGCGTCAAGCGTGGTCTAGGGAACTCTAGCGGGCCTGATTGGTGACGATTTTTCTGGATGGAAGGGAAAGGTATCCTGATTCGGTGTCCCAAACGCATAATCGTGTTTTAATTGTAGCTTTAGCCAGATATAGATTGGGCGAGTGTTAGATACTACGAGTATAAGCTTGCGAACAGTTGAGTCGTACGTCACCTTCCCCTTATGAATGACCTCCCTCTGTCCTTGGAGCAATGACGGTCAAGGAGGATCTTTAGAGGGAAATGAGGCATATAATTATGATCGTGACTCGACAACATGCTTTGGTGATATGCAGTGCTGAAAGTTTAGTATAGGAGAGAGCGATTGTAACTCCGACCTTTGGCAATGTGTAGAGTAGTGATGTCAATTGCGGAAAATCGGAATACCGATACCAAACCAAATGCCAACCAAAACCACGGGAAAATACCGAAACCAAACCAACTTGGGAAACTGAGGGAAATACCAACTTTTTACCGATTTATTAGCCTCTTATACATTAGTGAGGGCTTATGATACCAACAAAATACCAAACACATTACGATTGAAGTACCAAATACCAAGTTGGTATCGGTTTGGTATCGGTATAGCAAAAGTTGGTATCCGATTGACACCTCTAGTGTAGAGAGAAGTAGGAGGGACGATCATTACTCGGCCACAGCCACCGATAACCCAGCCACGCCCGACAGGCGTGCTGAGCTCTAACGACCTGTCCCCAAACCATCAGCCTATCGGTCAGCAGCGGTCAACTGTCATTGACCGCCGGACGGCAGTATGACGGACGACCGAGTCAGGCCGGACTGACGGGTCTCCGGAATGAAATGGTGTGGCGTGGCTGTGACGAGTGTTTCTTGATCAAATAAATGGCTCAATGTGGCTTGGTTGGATTTATGACAAGGTATCAACACGAAGCAATACATACTATGCGTCTAAGCTTTAACACGCGCACTGCAGGGGGGGGTTGTTTTCAACCCCCCCTGTGGTTTTTCGCAAATTGCGAGAAAACGGCGGCGCGTAGCGCCGCCAAATTTTGCATACCTGTTCTCACAACTTTTGCACACCTTGAGTAAAAATTTTGACCCCAGGTGACCTATGGTCAGGTCACCAGGTCAGGTCAAGTGACCCTACCTCGAAACGTAAATTTCGAAGTTTGCAATCCCAACAAGCCCACAGTTGTTGAGATATGATCTTGAAACCCACAGGAAATAGTAAAGTCATCACGAGCTACAACTTGTATATCTCGGAATTTTTATATCGATGACCTAAGGTCAGGTCATTTTTGCGACCGGCCCATTATAAGTCAATGGGAGAAATTTCAACTTACTCTGAATGCCATCCTATGACTTCAATACGCTCAGGATCATAGTATTACAGGTCCCTGTTGGTGATTTCACCGAAACATATCACTTATGACCTTTGGAAGGTGATCTCCAGGTCATCTTAGGTCACCTGAGGTCACCAGCGGTTTTTCTTCAATAACTTGAGATTGAGTAGAGATAGAGACTCCGTTCGACGTTTATCGTGTTTTTCTCGTCAATGCGGATCGAATGATATGCAACATGACCTATTTCGGTCAGGTCATGACCTTGACCTGAGGTCAAATTTTCAACTTGACCTTTCGAGGTCATATTATATATCATTCGATGCGCCTTGACGAGCTAAGAACGATGGCGTTCGAATCGATCCTCTGTCTTGTGTGCAAGACAAGTTATTCAAGAAAAACTACCGCGAAATTCCTGTTGTGAAAATCGTAACATTTTGTCTTCGGTGACCTCTGGTGACCTCGTTTTTGACCTGACCCAAAAATGATCTTTGTATTTCTTGTCGATCTCATCTTAACCTATCCAACGCCGTTTACCGCTTGTCGCTACGTTGCGCCGTTTTCGAGATCTCAGGGGGGTTGTTTTCAACCCCCCCCCCTGCAGTTCGTGTTCGGCTCAGACCCGCTGCAGTGCGCGTGTTAATTAACCCGCGCGGGGCTGGGGTCTCCAGCCGAACGCGCGGGGCTGGGGGTGGGTAAATTTTACCCCCCCCCCTGTTATCTCCCGAACTGATGGTCCGATTTGGAAAATTCAAACGCCAATCGAAAGATCTCATCACGAACAACTAAAAACATGTACTTAATTTAAAGTTTGAGCCTTGAGGTCAAGGTCAAGGTCAGGTCAAGGGTACAAATTGCAAGTTTCTACAGTATCGGCCTTGCACCGTAGTTGCCGAAGAATGGACTGAGACTGATTGCCCAAAACGTGTTCTTAGGCTACCAAGACAATATTCGCTGCTTACAATATCATTCAGAGGTCAAGGTCAGGTCAGGTCAGGTCAGGTCAGGTCACCAAAAACAAAATATAGAAAAGGGCATGTGCGACACATGTTTTATGGGTCATTTTATTCATAGAATTCAATAGGCACACTCAATAGGTGATATGGACCACATCTGGATGAATTTCAGGTCGAGGTCAGGTCAAGGTCAGGTCAAGTGAGGTCAAATTTTGAAGTTGGTTGTTAAGGCCTAAAAAGGTGTCTATCTGATGCAGTTTTTCACGGCGAATCGAATGGTGCTATTTTGTTTCCGTGCGAGGTCTAGAACTTCCAAAAAAATCATTTTTTCAAAAATTTTGTGTGTCGTGACGTCATGAAATTTTTAATAACTCCCACATTTTTGAATCGATTCTTCTAAAAATTGGTATGTAGGTGCACATAGACCACATCTCTGACATATATTCCGGTTTTTTCGATACACTCATAATTTTGGATTTTATAATTATTTTCCCAAAAAAGTCAGTTTTTTGAAAAATGTTTGGCCAAAATCCAAAATTTTCAAAAAACCGAGATAGCCATTTGATAGACACAGTAGAATTACGTATAACCTTTTTGTTACGTCTTGATTCCTTTAAAAATGAAGATGTTAGCGGCGTTTGAAATTTTGCCGTATTCGAGGCGAAAATGGCGAACATGACGTCACTAAAACGTCAATTTCTCAGAAATTTTCCGACGGATTTCGCTCAAATTTTCAGGGAACGTGTCAAATTGATGTAAGAAAAGGTACTGAAAGTTTGGCGGCGCTGCGCGCCGCCGTTTTTGAGTTATTGCAAAAATTCGCGAGGGTGAGTAAAATTTACCCCCCAGCCCCGCGCGGGTCCAAAATTCAAATACGACTGATATTGTGTCGTTGTGCATTGTCAGAATGTTACTAGACCCCTTTCACTCCCAACTCACGGATACAGCAATTACCAACAGCCTTCTCAATTACCGAACATTCACTCGGTGCCTGCTCCCCGCTACAACGTATTAACTGGTCTGTGAGCTCCCTCTGTACAGAAATGCTTCCCGGACGCGCTCTAAAGTTACGGGCACCGACACAGGCAATACGAGTACCGGCTTCTCAGACAGCTGAACGACCCAGGTGCATTACCACCGTCCAGCCGAGCGGAGCGGGGACAGGAATAGACGGACGACGGCAGCGCTTCTCCGGGGAGGGGAAAGAGAGAGAGAGAGAGAGAGAGAGAGAGAGAGAGAGAGAGAGAGAGAGAGAGAGAGAGAGAGAGAGAGAGAGAGAGAGAGAGAGAGAGACGACAAAGAGCTCCTTTATGTATGTTCTAAATCACCAGCAACCCGGCTAAAACATGACATTTTGCAGTTGTCGTGAGTTAGAACGGTGATCCAGCCGTGAGAAAGTCGACAATATGAGATTGACTAATGGCTGTGTTAGATTCATTTGCTATCTCGCTTCATCGTAACTAGGTAGGCTCTAGTCACATTCTGATAGGTGAGGTCAATTGCTGTACAAAAAAAGTGTTTTAGCGTGTTTTTTTTTT